TGCCCTCTGTCCTCAGGTGCCCGGCATGAAGGAGATCCTGCTGATGGGCTTCTACCAGCCCCACGAGGCCCTCAGCCGCTTCCTGGTGTCAGCGCAGCAGGAGTTCAAGATCCCCATCAGGTGGGCGGGAACCCTTGCGCCCCCAGGGTACCCACAGCGGCACAGCCTCTCGCCCACGTTCCCCGGTGTGACAGCCCCCAGCCGGTGCTTGGGCGTTGGCTTTGTCCCACCATGGATGGGCACAGCTGGCCTCCTGTGTTAGTTCTGCCAAATTTCCCTGGCCCTGGGCCCTGCCCTGGCTGCTGCCTGCTCCAGAGGTGCCTCTCCCGTACCGTTACAAGCCATCATGGCCTCCTTCCCCTGCGCCAATGTCTACGTGAGCCCTCTTGCTGCCTGGCAGGATTATGCCTCTCCAGTCCCTGCCAGCCCTTCCCTTCCCTGCTGCTGGTTGGTGCTACCAGACACCTGCTTCCCTAAGCCCTTGCTTTTCCCTGCTTGGCTCGCAGGTATCTCCAGGAGTACGCAGCGCTGGGCACGGGTGGTGGCATCTATCACTTCCGAGACCAGATCCTGTCAGGTGGTGCTGAGGCCTTCTTTGTCCTCAACGCAGATGTGTGCTCAGAGTTCCCGTTGCAGGAGATGCTGGAGTTCCGGCAGCGGCACGGGGACGCGCACAGCTTTGTCATGCTGGGTACCACAGTGAGTGGCAGTGCTGGGGAGCAAAGGAGCAGCGATGCTCTGCCGTGGGCTTGCCTAGAAGCCAGCGGCTCCTACAGTGGATGAGTCCCTGGATGTGAGCTCCGGGTCTCATCTGCTGTACAACATCTGCCTGCTGCTCCATCGTTGTTCACGTCCTCGCTCCGCAGGCCAACAGGACGCAGGCGCTGAATTACGGCTGTATCGTGGCAAATGCAGACACGCAGGAGGTAGTGGAGGCCCTCAGGGAGCTGGGCATGGCGTGGGCAGCGGGTGCTGCGCTGTCTGTGTGGGTGGACGTTCCCAGCGCACCGCAGAGGGTGTGACACCGGGCACGGGGGCTGTGCCCCGGCACTCATGTCCCTTCCCATGTCTCCAGGTCCAGCACTACGTGGAGAAGCCCAGCACGTTTGTCAGTGAGATCATTAACTGTGGCATCTACCTGTTCGCACCTGCCATCTTCCAGCATATAGGCGAGGTCTTCCAGAGGAACCAGCAGGAGCTAGTGCTGTGAGTGCCACTCTCTGCCTCGTGTCCCTCCCACCCCACTGCTTCCTGGGGCTGCAGCAGCATGCTCATACTCCATTCTTTCTCTATCTTCTCTCCTCCTCTGCCATCACTCACTTGTTTCCTGGTCCTGCCCCAGCTGCCCCTACCTTGGGTAAGTCTCCTTCTGTGTCTGCACTGGCTGCTCTCTGGGCTGGATCTTCCATAGCAATAATGCATGCTTTCCTCCCTGCTCCAGGCCTCTCTGCAAGGCTGTTCTTTCCTCTGCTCCCCTGCTGGCCAGTGTGAGACTCCCGTTTTCCCTTGCTCTCCTCCCACCCCATCCTCATATAGCTCCAGACAAGAGACCAAGTGAGCCTTTCACCTGGGAATGCTCCACTCCTCCCTCCAGCTCTCTGCACTAGCAGCCTGTCACTTGGCATCTCTGCCACCACCCAAGCAAAAATCCAGCCATGTAGGGATCTGGAGCAGGGCCAGAATCCGGTGCTTGTACACCCACCTGGACTGGGTGGGGCTCTTGCACCATCACCTTCTGGCTGAGAGCTTGTTTCAGCTGGCAGAGCCCCATCTGTGTCGCTCTGAGGTTCAGTGGGGCTGGGCAGGCCTGGCCTGACAGCTGGGGCTGTCCCCACCTTCGGGGAGAAATGCATGGCTAGGAAGGAGGCCATAGGAGGATTTGGGAAGGGTAGCTGCTGGGGTCCCTAGCTACGGTCCTGACTGGGGCAGGTGTCTAACAGGCCTCTTGCTTGCAGAGAGGAGAGTTCCAATGGCTGGCAGCGTGCAGAAGTGATCCGGCTAGAGCAGGACGTTTTCACAGCACTGGCTGGGAGTGGCAAACTCTATGTCTACAAAACTGATGGCTTCTGGAGCCAGATCAAATCGGCTGGGTAAGAGCTGGAGCCAGGGCTGGTGCAGCACAAGTGTCAAGCAATCTGTACTAAAGCTGGGAGAGAAGGGTACCCAGGGAGGACCTTGGGGGTGGAGGGGGTGCTGAATTCAGACCCTTATCTGCCCTGGTAGTGCCAGAGAAGCAATAACAATCTTTTGCTTTTCCTCCTCCAGCTCTGCTATCTATGCTAGCCGCCTTTACCTGAACCAGTACAGCAAAAGCCACCCAGAGAGGCTGGCCCAGAACAAGCCTGGAGGCCCTATCATCCGAGGTACCCCTCTGACACCCCCTGCCATCTTGGGGCCTGCCCCGTGTGGGACAGGGGAGAAGGGGGGAGGCAGTGGGACCTGTGGCAGGACCTCCCCTGATCTGAGAGGTGGGTGCTGCTGTGAGCTGCCTCCCCTGATGCGGTGTCCTTGCATTGCAGGGAACGTATATATCCACCCGACAGCCTCTATTGACAGCACAGCAGTGGTGAGTGCAGGCCTGGGGGACCCTGCAGCAGGGCCATGCTCCACCGAGGTGGGGTGCTGAGGGTAGTGTGGTCCCTGATCTCATTGCCTACCTCTGTCCTCACAGCTGGGCCCCAATGTCTCCATTGGGGAGGGGGTGACGGTGGGAGCTGGTGTGCGTGTGCGAGAGTCTATCGTCCTGCATGGTGCCTCACTCCATGTAAGTAGGGTTTTCCTGATGGTGTGGGCATCAACGCTCACCCTTGCAGCAACCCTTCATCCCCTTCTTTGCCCCAGGACCACACCTGTGTCCTCAATACCATCGTGGGCTGGGACAGCACCATTGGACGGTGGGCCCGAGTTGAAGGAACACCCAGTGACCCCAACCCCAACGATCCCTATGCCAAGATCGACAGCGAGACCCTCTTCCGGGACGGGCGCCTTACACCATCCATCACAATCCTGGGTACGTCCCACCTGCACCCGGCCTCCTTGGCCCTGCGCAGTGGGGCAGAATCTCTCCTCTCTCGCTAACTCCCTCGTGCTCTCCCCACAGGCTGCAGTGTCACCATCCCTGCTGAGGTTGTTATTCTTAACTCCATTGTCCTTCCTCACAAGGAGCTGAGCCGCAGCTACAAAAACCAGATTATCCTGTGAGTCAGTGGCTCGCTGGGATGGGGGGACCAGCACCAGCCACCTACTCCCTGCTGTGCCCTACAGCAAGAGCCTGTGCTGAGGCTTCACTTCCTGGGAGGTTCACAGCACCCCCAGAGGGGTCGGTGCACACCAGGAGCCCTGCAAGTGCCTGACTCTTATTCCAGACAGACATTAAAGCTGATGATCATCAGCCTCGTGTGCTGCTTCTCTTGCAGCCTGGGGATCAGCCTAGGGCAGGGTGAAGACTTCAGGCATGTGGCCCTGGCACTGGGCTGCATGCCTGTGCAGGGAGCCCTGGGCTGAGGCTGTTGAGGGAAGCACTTGCTGCCTGCAGCGTCTTGGGTCCAGCTTTGAGTGTTTCTCCACCAAAGGGCACTATCAGCATCGTCTTGCCATCCCTCACCAGGCTCTCCCTGCATCATTTGCTGTCTGCAACTACCTGGAAGGTCTTGGCTCATCTCAGAGGTGGGGGAGCTTTGAATGTGCCTGTCCTGCGTGGGCAGCTCACCCTGCAGGAGGAGCTGGTTTCAGCAGCGTGATTGCAACAGCCTGAGCTGGGCTCCTGCCCACTGCTGGGAAAACAGGGCTGTCCTAAGGGCGCTGGCACAGGAGGGCTGGCTGGGTTGGACAAGCAGGCTGCTGGCCCTGGAGGGAGCTGCAAAGGCATCGCTTCCCCCAGCACCTCCTCCACCTGCAAGGGATCGGTATGAGCCAGGAGAGCTGCCAGCCCTGCCAAGCCCACTCCTGTCAGGCTGAGACCTGCACAGGCTGTCTAGGCAGGGCTCAGGTGACAGCAGCAGGTCCCTGCCACCCCGGTGGGCCAACAGCCTCCTCTGCACCAGCATGTGTGTAGCTTGAGGGGCTCACTGTATGTCTTCTCTCACATCAGCCATGTCCACAGGGTACCAGAGCAATCAACTTATGTGTGTGCAGGTGGCAGAGATCTACCACCTCCCTGTGTCTCAAA